TGATTTCTATCAACTATAAACTTTTCACGATCAATCAGAACCTTTCGATTGCACTGTTAAAATCAGACTCTTTTTGCTCAAATCAAAAAAAACCAAAACCTACTCTTTTCGCATGATTTCTTCTTTTTCCTTTTTTTTGTCCTTATTTTTCTTTGCGTTGCTACCTAGCGGCTAGTCGTTATTCTTGCAAAAAAAAGGACCAAACCGCAAAATCACGCGATTTTGCATAACGGGTTGCCGTTATTGCTACATTTTCGGCAAAAACAGACCGGCTGACACCCTACCCGAAGTTTGTTCGCGGACGTTACAAGGTAGACAATGATTAACACTAACCTCAGGAAAATTGGCAAAGCAAAGATCAAGCAGTGTACCATTGCAATTAGGGGTACGGTTGTATTGAATTAAATTATGATCAAATAATTCAGACGTTGAAGTAACCATCAAACAGCCGAACTATCACTGTAACACCAAATGACTTGTGGCAAATTAAAGTCACCCAACGCAATGATTATATGGGTGGGTTTAGATTGTTTCACAAATGAGGTCGGCCCGTTTCTTATATATGGAGATATCCGAATTTGTGGAAATATAGGAGCAGGTTAGGCGCAACTATTTATTAGAAAATTTCGCTTTAATGGCGATAAATTCGATGTCGGGAGTAGTGGGAATTCAATTGAATAGGACGGGACTGCCGCAGAAAAGTTCCGACGAACGTAGACCAGGCTTTAACCAACTGTCAGCGAAGGCCAATCAGGAAAGCTCCGAAAGTAGGACGAATTTTTGAATTATTGCCCTAACATTTTGATAAATGAAAGATAATGAGTCTGAACAAAGATTTAGTTTTTTGAAAGGGAGAAGGGGTGCTGGATTAGTATTACGGGATCGATCACGATGGATAAATTCCTTAGTTAAGAATCCAACTGGTCAAAACGGTTTATTTAACAACATATCCATGTTTTCAGTCGGAACTACCATTTTAAAAGACGACATTGCTCTAGGTTGAGAAGGAACCAATTTGAAAATGTTAATATGCTTTAAACGGACTGATGGGACTTTCGCCGCTAGATAACTTTTTATGTTATACACAGATGTATCAGGTGGCACCCTTGACACAAATGTTGCCTTTCTGGGGGGAACTGCCGTCAAGCAAATATTATCTTTACTAGGAACACTAGGGTTCACGGATGGGGAGGGTTGAATTGCGGAGAAGAGGTAACCACACTTGAACGACGTGCGCTGTTTGATGACTAGTGTTCACCCTCGAACAGCCAAGGGGAGATGAGGATTTATTATTCTCTTTATTAGTTTTAGGCGATGACGCCTGAGTAGAGCGAGTGACACCACTGGGAGGATATACTCTTGCCACTTCAGCACAGCTCAAACCAAAAGGGCTTCTCGGCTTATTTGTAACTTGTACCGACCGGCCCAACGATAGCAGAAACGATAACGTTCTTTGTAGACATTGGGGCAGCGCAAACTTGCATCAACGATTCAGACTTAGGAGAACTCAGAGGTGATGTACCACATGCTACGCTACGAGTTGTAACTTTGCTGGCTGGGAAAGAAGATGAGTGCTCAATATAACGGCACTCATCAAACGTAATCTTAATTATTTCAAACTTCTCCTACAAGGAGCCGAAATTTTTTTTTCAAATCTGAGAAACCATTTCATGTTTCCTTGACCTATTTGTAGAAGTCTATGTCTCGCTTCCTACAGACAGGACATGACCATCATAAGTCTTTCTAGGGGTCAACGACTGCATCAACAGCATAGTCGATAATACCGGCGCACTTTGCATGACCAAAGAGATCGCAAAGT